GGGGGGGGATGAGCTGTGCTGGGGAGGCGCAAGAGGGAGGCTGATGCATTTGGTGCAGGTGGAAGACAAACTGAAGAAGACGGGAGGAAAGAAAAACAATGAAGCAGTCGGAGGGATACCGCGGTCATGGCTGGAACGGGTGAGAGAGGAGGAGACGGCGGCGGCAGTTGCTGCGCAGGAGGAGGCGAGGAGGAAGGAGTCAAGACGGGGGATAGTGAAAGGAGAAGTTGAAGGAAGGAACTGGAAGAGAGGAGAAGAAACGGGAGCAGGGAGGACACAAGCGAGAGAAAGGAGGAGAGGAGCTACGAGTCTCCATCGCACGGAGAGAACTAGATCAAGACTTGACGTGCCGCATGCTTGACAGGCCACGAAACTTGCAAGGGAGCTCGAGCACTACAAAGAAGAATCGATCCGACTGGGTAAGCACAGGGAGTGAGAGGAGTGGAGGAGGAGGAGGAGGAGGGGAAGAGGGAGGGTGGGGGAAGAAAAGTTTTGGTGGCACTTGATGGATGGAGGGGGGAAGGAGGAGGAAGTCCAGGTAGTGGAAGTCATAGTGCTGCTGCTGCTGCTCCTCCTCCTCCTCCTCCTCCTTCTCCTCCTCCTTCTCCTCCTCCTCCTCCTCCTCCTCTTCCACCACCACCTCATAATGACAGGGAGATTTCATTTGCAGCGCACAAGTGTGAATGTCTGACGTTAACTTACCTGCAGATGCCGAGAACGAGAGGCTGACCAAGGAGTCAACGAGGCTGCAGGTAGATCAATACATGCTCATACATGCTCATACATGCTCACACGCCTGTCGCTTTCACTCAAACACAGCAACAACGGCCAGCCTCTTCCTCCCCCTCCCACCCCCTTCTTGCTTGTCTCTCTCCCCACTATCCGGCCCCTCTCCCTCTCTCCTCCTCTCTCTCTCTCTCTCTCTCCCTCTCTCCCTCTCTCCCTCTTCTCTTTCCTCGCATGTCTTGCCGGGTGCTGACAGTCTTGGCAGGCGGAGTATCATTCACACGAGGATGATGTCCGATACCTGGAGTCACAGGTAAGAGAAGCGACGATTGTGGTGATGGTGATGGTGATGGTGATGGTGATGGTGATGGTGATGATGATGATTGTAATGATGATGTCAACTTTCAATCGTGATGAACCTCGCTAAGTATCATTCTTTTGCACTGACACCTCCATCAGTTGGTCGCCCTCAAGAAGGAGAATCTCAAGCTCAAGAAGGTTCTTTCATTTCGCTTCTCTTGACCCCACTACTCCTCATCTTTCTTTCTTGCTTTCTCCTAGTCTCAGCTTTCCCTCCCTCCCTCCCTCCCTCCCTCCCTCCCGCTCTCTTATGCTCTGCACAGGATCGTGAAGACGCTGCTACTGTCTCAATGCGGTAAGTCTACTTCTATCTCCTCTCCTCTACATCCTCCTCTGATGCTCCTGTTCTGTTCCAACTGCGCGTTGTGAACGCTTTCTCTGCTCTCAACACCCTTTCCGTTTCCCTTTCTTCCTCCCCCCCCTGTTCCCCCCGTCTCTCCCTCTCCCTCCCTCCTTTCCCGTTTCCTTCTCCTCCATCTTGCTCTTCCTCTTGCCTGCTTTCACTCATCCTGTTTCCTGTCTTGCTACATCCGCCTCCCCTCATATCAGTTGTCTCGTTTGTCGTTTGTTTTCTCCTTTCTGCATCCTTCAATCCTGATTCCCATCGGCCCTGTATCCGATTCTTCTGACTTTCTCCCTCCCCCCTGCCCCTCCAGAGCCTTCCTCGCCACCGACCATTCCAAGCGTCAGAGAAGTCAGGAGGAGGAGCGCCCGCCGGCGGAGGATGGGAGCAAGGTGAGCATGGCGAGGAGTCGACGATCAGCCTCACTCACTTCCTCGGTCAGCCGCAGGAATCAAAGCAGATGGAGGAGGAGGCGTATGCGCAGGTAGAGGAGGAGGAAAGGGGGGGAGGGGGAGGGGGAAGAGAAAGGAGGAGAGGAGGAAGAAGAGAGGAGATATACCCCTGTGACTGACTCCATGGAAGATTGAGAAGGTCAAAGTCTCTATCTCGAGGATGAGGAAGCTGATAGAGGATGAGAGAGCCCGGCTAAGGGAGGTTGGCTTCACCCTGGGTCGAGCTCAGTACTTGTGGGCTCCATCAGGTTCCTCATCCTCGAGAGAGAGACTGTGACCTTTCTCGCGAATACGGTTGAATCACGCTACTTCATTGCCATGACTACCCTCACCTCCTGCGTTTCTCTCCAGGTAGTGAATGTGATGACATCATTCATCTACTGCGCATACGCTACTTGAGATGGAATCAAGAACGTTAAGGCTGAGGCTAGTCAG